TCGTTCCATGCCCAGAAGGGGAAAAGCCTCCACACATTTCAGGTGTTTGGAGGGAACAAGAAAGGGAGCCCCTTTCCACGTCTTCCCCACCCCGCCCGGCCGCCCCCTCTACCTTCTGCAGATCCGCGATGGCCTGCTTGAGCTTCTTGGCGTGATCGTAGTGTTCCAGGTGCACCGCTTCGTGCTTCTTCTCGTCCAGCTTCCGGATGATCTGGGCCACTTCCGGGTCTTGGTACATGTCAAAGGCCAGATCGTCCAGCGGAGAAATGGCGTCGGCCTTCCTGGAATGAAGGGGAGAATGGCAGTTTGGGGCGAGGCCCCCGTGCCCACGGCGGGCGTGGGGAGGGAGGGGAGGGGAGGGAAAGGGGGAGGGGGAGGCTTCCCCGTTAGACCGTTCTCACCCAGGGTAGCTCCCCTCCAGGGCCGACTCATCCGAATTGCTCCCTAGGTAATGGTCGATCAGCTTCTCCCTGGAAGGCTTGATAACAGAACCACAACAGGTAGAACTTTTGACTCAAATGGGCCGAATGCAGGTGAACAACAGCAAGACCGAAGTACAGGCGGCCCTCGACTTACAGCAGTCCGTGCAGTGACGACCGGCTGAACTTGTAACTACGCTGGGAAAAGCGACTCACAGACCATTTTTCACCCAACAGTTGCAGCCTCCCCAGGGTCCCGTGATCACAATCCAGACGCTTGGCAACTGCCTCAGAGTTATGATGGTCGCAGGGTCGTCCCGGGGGTGGTGGTCCCGTGATCCCCTTTTGTGACCTTCTGACCAGCAAAGTCAGTGGGGAAGCTGGATTCATTTAACGACCGTGTGACTAACTTAACAATGGCAGAGATTCACTTACCAATTGCAAGAAAGGTCGTAAAATGGGGCAAAACTCACTTGTGAACTATCTCACTTAACAGGAGAAACTTTGAGCTCAATTGTGGTCGTAAGTCAAGGACTACCTCTATACAGATATACAGGTGGTCCTTGAGTTACGACCTCTATATCTGTACCCCTGTATCAAGGTCTACCTGTACATTGGTACTCCTTGAGTTACGACTGTAATGGAGTCTGCCTATCACAGTTGTAACTTATGACGGTTGCAAATCTTTGTTTAATTTCCCAGACGCACCTGGCTGTTCTCATGGCTCAAATCTGCAGGTTCCCCAATGATGTTTATTGCCACAAGAGCAACCTGGAGAAACAAGAGGGAGAAAAAGAGAGCGGAAGTTCTGACGTCCTTTGACCTCTTTTCTTTTGTTTCAAGAAAACGAGAGAAGAATACAAAGGGCAGCAGAAACAGGGTCAGCTACTTCCCATTCTGTTTTTAGTTATCCATGTAGGAAAGTCAACGTATGCATTCTATATTAATTATTTTTATTAATAAGAAACAATAATTTCTATTTTTTTCCAGACAAGGAACTATAGACAGGTTCTCTCTGGCCATTCAAAATCAGAATATTACTATCAACTTCAATGATTTTTATACTGTGTTCCCTTCAGTTAGTGCTTCCAAACACATTGGGTAACTATTACTAGAGTAATTAATAGCTAATAGAGAACTAATAGAGTGTTTCACCATGGTAGCAATGTGTCTAGATCAGTGTTTCACAACCTGGACAACTTTAAGACGTGTGGACTTTAATTCCCAATTCCCTGGCACCAATGCACTCCTTTTAATATGTATCCAAACGGTGTCCTGCTTATTCTCTTACAACCCCTTTCTCTGCACTCTCTCTCCTCTGGCAAGGGGTGGGTGGACAAGCATGGCTGGCTGGGGAATTCTGGGAATTGAAGTCTACACATCTTAAAGTTGCCAAGGCTTGGAAATATTGATCTAGAGAGACCCAGTTTTTACCTGGCTGTACAGGTTGTACCGATTGGCGTAGTTTTTGTGGAAAGTCAACTTTAGATATTGGCCAACTGCATCCACGTAGACGGATTTCAATTCCCGGGCCCTGTAGTTGGTCTTTTCGTTATCGGAAAGGGAGACATAACTGTAGAAGAGGGAAAAAAGAGAGAGAGGTTGAATGCAGATTATGCTTTACAAGTATTGTGAACCCTTTGGCGCTGATGAACTATCAATATTCTATTCTAAGAAAAGGATTCCTGCAATGAATTAGTGGACTGTCCATAGGTTCGTATGCGTGTATTGGATGGGCCTCCGTCTTTTTCACAGACGCACTCCAAATTTTAAATTATTGGCTTAGAATCCTAAGTTAGGCACAAACTCTCTCAAATTCCAGAGGAAAGGAGAACAAGCAAAGGGTCAGCCAACATTCACAAACACGTCCTTTAGGATCTGTGGCTGCTTATCTGGAGTTGCACCTTGCTTTATACGGTCGGTCTGGAATCAGCCAGGGGGCTGGGCAAATCCCACGTGCCTACTGACAACCCGCTTCTGCTGGGTTGCTGAGTCCCCCGAGGGACTCAAGACAGAAAACTGACACGCGTATCAAGGAAGAGAAAGCTCACCCCAGCCTCTGGAACTGCTCCGTTTTATAGGGCGCAAAATAATCGGGCAAGTTTTCGCTGATGAAGAACTCAATTTTGCTGGAGATCATATATTGGTGAGCCAGGAGCTGCAGCTTTCGAATCCTGCACCTTTCCACCATCTGGAGGACTATTTCTTGGGGATACTGGCAGAGTCTGAAAATAGAGAAAAGGGAAGTCTTTGGTTTCCCACGCCAGGGTTGAAATGGCGGGAATATTTTATTACACTCAGTGACCAGGGGAAGGAAGGAAGGAAAAGAGAGGAAAGAAGGGAGAGAGAAGAAAGGAGAGAGAGGGAGAGAAGAAAAAAGCAAGGAAAATGTCAGAAACTCCCACATCTCTATAAACCTAAGCTATCTGAGTATACCTAATTCAATATGGATAAATTTAACGCTACACAAAATATTGCAGCCATAGGACTCTAAAAACCTATAAAGCTAAAAGTAAATGCATGAAACTTTTGAAGCAACTTTCTTGGCTGACTGCTTTACAATCCTGGGCTTGAATTACGATCTTTTCAAAATTCTGATCTCCTAACAGTGGGGATGAAAGACACGCTGTTCAATTTTTAAGAATTCCTCTGACTGAGAAGTTGTAATTTTTTCTAATTGCTTTACTAACCTTTTTTTTGCGGGGGGTGGTGGGGGAGAACCTTTTGTTGAACAGTGGAAAACAAGAGGTGCTGCATATAAATTTATTTATTTGTTAAATTTATTTAAATTGAAGAACATTTTCTGGATTCTTGCAAGATGCCCCCAAGAGCAAGTGAAGTATCTAGAGTTTCTTAGGGACTGACCTTGGTGACCTCCATCCGTTGACCGTTGGCGCGTGAACCATCAGCTCCTTGGCACTGAAGCCATCCTCATGTCCGGATGAACTTATAACAATAAACCCAATCTTGTGTGGCATCCTGCCCTCTTGTGCTAACTGGGAAGAAACAACAGCCAGCTTTTGCAAAAGGTTTCTCTCCAGCAAAGATTACAGTGTTTTAACTCTTGAATCCAAGCAACTTTGAAAGTTAGCCAAAGTTCCATCTCAAACATTCACATTTGTGGTCTTTATTTATTGACTTTATTCATTCTGTTTATACAACCACCAACTCAATTAGCAGTTGTGGGAAACAAACCACAATAAAAGTAAAAATAAAAACAAACAGGAGATTGGGCTCTTCACACATTTGGGGCCTCAGGCACACGGATATGCATTTCTTATATTTGCACCCAATGAATTTGCATTATTATTTTGAGTCACCCAGGGCTGCTTTTAAGATATAAATTATTGGCATGTTCTGTACGCATTGGGTCTGCATGCACATCTGTTTTGCATGTATTGGATCGGCATGTTTTATTTATTTATTTGATCTGTGTGGTGGCCTAGTGGTGGAGATGACTGCTTCCCGCTCGCGAAGGCTGAGAGTTCAATCTTAGGTGGCAGCAGATGTTTCTCTCTCTGGGCACAAAGATAAAATATCTGCTGCCAACCCTGCATAGGCATCCAGCTAGTCAACGCTCAGCTCCATTCAAGCTGCTCCAAATTCACCCGGAATTACGGAAGGGGGAAAATATTTGTTTGATCTCTGTAGCTGTCCCTCTCAAGAAGTGACTCTGGGGAGCTACAGAAATTGAACCAATTTTGTTTGTAGAGCATTAGCATGCACAAATGTTCTGCATCTATTGGAATGGCATGCTTTGCATGTACTGGGCTTGCGTCCTCGTGTGTTTTGCACGTGTGGGAATGGCATGACCTTTGCACGTAGTGTTTGCATGCCCATGCTTTGCATCTGCTGGACGGGCATGACTTTGCTTGCGCAGGAGTTTTGCATGCATTAGATTAGCACGTTTTGCATGTCCTGGGCTCGCATGCATATCCCCCCCACCCCCCAGCCCACCTGGAGCCGATCCGTCCGTCGTGGCAGGCGGGGGCGGCCTCTTCTGCTCGCGCGTCCTTCACCACCATGAAGACGCCTGCGGGGGGGGGGGGGGACAAAAGAGGGGGAGGGGGGCACCGGTCACCTTGACTGGCTCCTCTCCGGTCCGCCGATGCTTCCCTCCCCACGTCCCCGCTAAGAAGAGCCATACATCCCCATGGTCATAATGAGACCGCGGCTCCCGCTCTATTAGCCCCCCTCCCCGGTGCCCCCATCTAGTCTCGGGCAGTCCCACCGGCCCCGCACCCGGGAGAGGCTCCGCCCCTTTTTCCCCCGTCCCAAGGGAGTACCCCCCCCAGCCCCCACGGTTGGGGAGAGGGGAGCCTAAAGAGAAGGGGAGCCCCCTCCGCGCCCCTCGCCCCCCTCGCCTCCTACTTTATTCCGGCTCCATCACTAGGGCCTCTGTTCCCTTAGCAACCGCTGCGATGCGACTGCGCAGGCGCGAGCGCGGCGGCACAGTGGCGGCCGGCGGGAGGGGAAGGGCGAGCGAATGGGATGCTCGCAGCGGGTCCTTCCGCACATGCGCCGTCGCGACTCGGCCACGGATTCGCCGCGCGCCGGGCCAATCAGGGCGCGGGGGGCGCCGGGCGCGTTTTCCGGGGCAATGGCGGCCAAGGCCTTCAAAGTGCGGACCGGGCCCGGAGGGAGCAAATACGGGCTGGCGGCCGGGAGCCTCGCGGAGCTGCTGCGGAAGGCCTCCCTGCTGGAGGTGGGTGGGAGGGTGGGCGGGGAGGAGGAGGGGGAGGGTGGCCGGCGCGTCTCTGTCCGAGTACCGGTTCCTTTGACGGGCTCTTCCGCTTCCCCACAGCCGCCCTTGGTCGCGGGCTGCCGACTGGGCCGCTACGAGGACGGCGTCGAAATCAGCGAGGAGGCTTTCCGTGCCCTGCCCGAGGACGCCGAGCTGATCCTGTTGCGGCCCGGAGAGGAATGGAGCGGATGTAAGTGGGGGTGACACACACACAACACACACAACACACAGCCTCCGCCCTCCAGCTCCTCTTCCAACCAACCCCAAATAGGTCAGTTTAGGGTCGGTTTTTTGCGCTGCCAGAAATTTAGAAAAAGCTTTGCCTCAATGAGGACTAGCGCCTTGCAAACGCTGTTCAAGGACTAGCAATATAATAGGAAATGTGCAAACCTCAAAGATCCAATATATAGATATATACACGTACATATATAACACATGCATATATACACATCTATGTATGTATCTATATGTATATATACATACACACGCACAGACCTATACGTTATAAACACACACCCAGAGAGATTGCCATGAAAGCTGATCGTCTGCAAGAATGAACCATCCTTGGTTTTCTCGTCTTTTCCTCCCGGCAGACGTCAGTGAGATCGAGCGCTTCCTGCGTGCTTTCTCCAACTGCTCCTCTGGCGTGCTCCACGCAGCTCAGGGGCTCCTGTCAGGCGAGGAGGCTCCCAAGAGGTGCAAACTCCTGTCTGACCTGATTCAGAACCTCAGTGAAAATATTTCTGCAGAAAGCCGGAAGGAAGACGAGGTGTGGTTTGAAGGTCAGTTCTAAGCTGATGTCCTGTGGCTCTGCCTGGCGTTTGGTCTGTGGGTGAAAAATGCTCAGGATGTCGAGAGTTTTGGGAAGCACAGTCTTATGGACTGGAAACTTGAAAAATCTCACTTAGGTTTGGAAGGTGGCTCCAAGAGGCTTTTTGGGGACTGATGGCATTCATTTCCCACCATTCCTAGGGGTTGAATCTCGGTTTAAGACCAAGTCCAGTTATATGCGCCATAGTTGTGAGAACAGAATCCGTGGATACATGAAAGAGGTAACGTGGCTTGCAAAACTCCCTACGTAGTCTTTATTTTGATCTTAGATGTTTGCCTTCACAATACCTACTATATTACTCAACCATTGGTTATGATGATTAGGCATTTGGGAAGTGATTGATCAACCCCTTCCTCATCGAGAGAACCGACTAGCACTTAACAGTCAAAAAAGTTTATTGAAAATGGAAGGCTTAAAATTTGAAGTGAACCACAGTTTGGTACACATCATTAATATTTGTAATTCTAACTTTCCATTTTGTGCTTTTAATTATATGGAAACATCAAGTGTTTTTTTTTTTTTTGTGTGGACTGCAACTCACAAAGGCTACACAGACACGAATCTCTATTACACGAATGGGATTTCCTTCCTTTTATGTTATGGGCAAGGCAACCTCCATAATTCCCTGCATTTTTGCCATCCTATTTCTTAGTTTAGTTTGGTTTTCTTTCACCATTCGTATTCAGGGTTTGAATTAGCTTTTGATCTACCAGGTTTCAGCTCGGTTTGTAAAAATCACTGAAGTTTGCCTTGTGGGAACAGACTGGCAAGGAAACTCAATTATCTTTAAATAATATTTTTAAATAAGATGTTGAAAGCTTGTGTGTTTCTCTCTCCAAAGGTTGGGGCTTACATTTCTGCCGTCCCTCCCGCCCTCCAAATGAAATTCAGCGGGGTCGCTGAAGCCATGCTGGAGAAACTGAAGTTGGAGAAGTACAATGGTTTCTATTTCGACCGGAAGGAAGAGACCAAAGACCGCCTCTGCACACCGGAAGGCTGGTTCTCGTGCCAAGTAAGTTGTGAGAAAATCAAACGTATAAAAGCAAAGACGTTAAGCATTTTTATTTTCCTTTTTGAGTGGCATTGAGTGATTCACGCATTCCCAAGTTGAACCTTTGGTCAGGCATTGCAGGAAACATGGGGGGAGGGAGTGTCTTTCTGGCTGGTGCCTACCGGCACGGGGTTGCTTACCTTTACAGAGAGGCCAACAACTATCCCAATATATAGCGACTGCCAAAATAAAACCTACAGGTAAGTCTCAACTTACAACAATTCATTCAAATGGTCCCAAGTCCTCTTTTTCTGTGCCGTCAGTACTTCAAATGGTCACTAAACAAATTGTTGTAAGTTGAGGACGACTAGTATCCAGCTTTGTGTGTCTCTTGTCCACAGGGCCCCTTTGACACCGAAGACTGCTGCTGGAGACACTCCATCAACCCTTACGGGAACAAAGAAAGCCGAATTCTGTTCAGCACGTGGAACCTCGACCACATGTGAGTCCTGGAACGCAATCCCACCCTGTCCGTTTGGTCATTATTTTTGGCCCCTCCCGGTGATAGATCAGTTGTGTGTAAACAAAAAATATCTCTTGAATTTTAAACTCCCTGGATCCACTTACACAGCTGGATAACTGGCTGCTGTATGTACAGGTGGGGAAGAATTTCAAAAGAAACAGCAATATCATTAAATGTACATGTTCAGTTGAAAATACTTCAGCCTTCCTTTCTGTTTCAGAATTGAGAAGAAACGGGCTGTCCTGCCCACCTTAGTCGAGGCCGTGAAAGGCTGCGACGGGAAGGAAATTGACTGGGAATATTTTTACCGGCTCTTGTTCACCACGGACAATTTGAAACTGGTGCACATTGTGTGTCACAAGAAAACAGTCCACAACCTCGGCTGCGACCGGACAAAAATCTACCGTAAACGAAAGACAGGCCGGAAGGACAGGCCTCTTTGCAGCCACACCCCGAGATCCTGGGTTCAAACGTCAAAAACTAAACAAAAAAATGACTCGAAACTTCCTAAAAATAGAACAACGAAAACCCCCCATCCTATAGCCAAGAAGGGATCCGCTTAACGGCTGTGCCGTTTGCTTAACAACCACTGCAAAAGAGGTCGAATCAAATTTGCCTGGCCAGGGAGTCATTTTTGTTATTTAAAATTTTAAATGATTGTTTTTACTCCATATTTTTTAAAAAGAGTAAAAATGAAAAATAAGATTTTTAAGAAGTTACAAAAATTAATTAGTGAATATTATAGCTGTTTTTTCCCCACCTCATTAAAGGCATTCATTGAAGGCTGCAACTTGGTTAGCCACCTTGTGAAATCACCCTGCAAGCTGGAATTGTTTCATTGCGGGTTGTGTGAACCCAGAAAAACTGTTCACTAGCCAGGTTTAGCTGTGAAAAATAAGGGCAGGAGGTGCTGACATGTTTTCATCCATTTTTGGACCTCTTCCTGGGTTTAAGTATCCGCCTACTAGATTATATAAATAATAAATTTTAGTTTCTCATTACTGATGTAAGTGCACCAATTCAGCCCTCAGGGATGAAATCAATTCCTTTCATTCATCGTGATGATTTAATTTCAGCAAAAAAAAAAAAAAGCTTTATTATTGCAGTGGTAATCTTGGGCACCAAGGGGCAAAATCTCGTGAACATTTGTATCTTTTAAAAAATGCCGTGTTCCGAACTCTGCAAGAGATCCTTTTATTCATAGTTAGGGGCAGATGTACCCAAACTGGGAGGGCACACACATCTGCCATCATGGTTTTTTTAAAACCTCCAACATCTGTGTTCATAGAACATAATAAACTAGTTTTTAATGTGCAGTCCACAGCTTAGGCAGGTTTTACAAATTTCAAAACAGCTCTGAATGAACTCAGAATATGGTTAAAAAAATGAGCTTTTGGATAAAGAAAGAAACAATGTGCCTGGAGAAAGAAGCATACAGAATAACAGTTGGACGGGACCTCTGAGGTCATCTAATCCAACCCCCTGCTCAAGCAGGAGTCCTTATTCCATCCTGGTCAAGTGGCTGTCCAATCTCTTTGAAGACCTCCAGTGATAGAGCACCCACCACTTCTGGGTGGCTGGTTGTCGCTTCCTCAAGTCCAAGGCTCTTGTTGGTGGGGATGGCCGTAGTGGGCGCTGTGACCCACGGGCTTCGCCAGAAACAGGGAGCTTGGAGTGGCTCAACGTCCATCACCGTCACGGCGATGGTTCTTTCCGAAGAACACACACTCTAGAAGATGCTACGGTGGCGAGGAACATTGTTAGTCTTGGCTGCATCTGGAAAAGGTACAATTCGCCTGTGACTGATTCTCTCTGGCCTTCAGGCTACCTCTTCTCCACTCTCCTCATCCTCCTCCTCCTCCTCTTTGGCAATAAAATGCATTCTTCGGAACTCCCGCCTGCTGGTGTTGGTCCGCGAGAAGGAGGCCGGTGGGAGGTCCTAGAAGAAAGAGGCCCCTGGTGAGGGCCTTCAGAGCCAGCCCGGCAGCCCTCCACTCCCCATTCCCCCCAATGAAGAGGAGGAACCGTCCGCCGTTTTTGCTCCAAAGAAACGAGGCCGTTCTTTTCCCTCTTCCCCACCCGCCCAACCTTGCGGACTCCCAGAGTCCCCCCGCCAGCCTTGCGGTTGGCACCTACCCTTACCTGTGTGAACGCCATGCTTCCGAAGAACCGGTCCATGGGCAGCGGCTGGTTGCTGTCCTCATTCAAGAAGACGCTGTTGTCCAGCTCGCCGATTTGACTGGACACCTCCTCCGGCTCCATCTGCACAGAGGTGGACGTGCTACCCATGTCGGTCTCTTCTCCTTCGTCCTGGTCCTCCCCTTCCCCTTCCTCAGCCCTCCTGGGCTCCCTGTTCTCATCAGCTACATCTTGGGGGTCTTCTGAAGGCCCCTTCTCTCCGCTCTGCAGTCTCACCTCCAGGTCCAGGGCGGATGCTCCCAAGGGGGCTTCATCAGCTGGCCCCACCTGGGATCCTGCCTTCTGCCTGGGCCCCTGTTTCCTTTCACACCTCGGCTTCTTTGAGGGACGCCTGGAGGTCCCGTTTTGCAAAGGACCCTGCGGAAGGAGGAGGAGGAGGAGAAAGAAAGGCCATCAAGGACCCCAGAAACCAGGAGAAAATTTCCTATCGGAGAGAACAATCCACCCGTGAAAGGGAGGTTAAGTCTGCAGAAGCTGTGGCTGCTCCACCCCTGGAGCTCTTCAAGAAGAGGCTGGGCAGCCACTTGTCCGGGATGGTTCTAGGGTCTCTTGCTTGAGCAGGGGGTTGGGCTAGAAGACCTCCAAGGTCCCCCCCCCCGACTCTTGTGATTCTGCATTCTCTTAAATGGCTAGCAAATCAACGCTCGACTTAGAAACCAGTGGAGACCAGCCTGATGCTCTTCAGAGGTCCCAAAATGCAGGAAGGGGAAGCCTGCCTCGCTATAGCCCATGCACTCCAATAGGCACTTGCATCAACATTGGCATAAGCTCATTAGGCAAGTAATCTGTGTAATACCAGAAATACTCAACTGCACCTCCTGCCGATTCATTCATGTAAATATCTACTTGCATAGGATAAGGATGTTTTGGGCCGCGACTAATGTACATAAGAACAAGTACCTATGTTAATATATTGGTTTTATAGTATGTTACTTACAGTTCATATAAAATATAAATAAAATTGATGTACATTTTTAAATTATATAAGTATATGCATAAGTATATAATGTATGTATAGATGCATGTATATATGTATATATATCATACTTAATGACATGCGTATATATATATATCCACACCCACATAACTATCCCAAGTAATCCTTAAAATTAATAATGTATTTACACAAATATTAGTATGTATTTGCATAAATTAGCATACTCTCCCCCCCCAGTTCCTGCAAACCTGATTTGCATAGATCCATAGACAAATCGCGGCTAGGGAGGCCCCACCCCCCGCCTGCGCCACTCACCCGCCGGGCTCGCATGGAAGAAGCCGCAGGACCCTCACCACACCGATCTCACCTGCTCCCCGCCAGCACTTCCGCTTTCCGCAGCATTACATTTCCGGTGAAATTGCCCAATTAAAATGCAGAGCGGGGAACGCCCTCTCTCTTCCGTCGTTGCCTGGCAACAGAACTTCCCCCCCTTTTCCGACGCCCCGCTGTGAGCACCGTCGCCATCTTTCTTTTGGGCACCGTTATATGACAGTCCTTCCCAAGCCTAGGAACTCCTTAACCGTGAACCTTTTTTTTTATTCCACTTAATCTCTTAATCGCCCAAGGATTAGGGTTCGGTGCTTCACTGCCCTCAGTGCTGCGTTTCCTAAGAATTTTAAACAATAGGTTAGGGTTGAGGTAGGAACGGCCATCTTTAGAGAGGGTAAGCCCACTTTACCTCCAGGGTGGAAAGTAGATGTAGCATGTTTTGAACTTTTTTGCACAATTGCAAAAAGAAAAATGCACAACCTGCAACCTGGATTAAAAGTAGCCCTCGACTTATGACCGTAATTGGGATTGGAATGTAAATTGCTAGACGATCTTGTCATTAAATGAATCACAGCCAATTTTTCAACCCTTTCTCCCCCATGGACGTTAAATTAATCCACTTTCCGCAACCGATGTTGCTGATCAGAAGTCAGCTGCGAATGGCGACACACAGAGGTGGGTCTTCAGCAGGTTCTGGCCAGTTCTGGAGAACCAGTAGCGGAAATTCAGAGCTGTTCGGAGAACCGGCAAATACCACCTCTGACTGGAGATTTAACGCTATCCTTCCCCTGCCACGCCCACCAAGCCACGCCCAACAGAACTGCTAGTAAAAAAAATTGAATCCCACCACTGGCGACATGGGAGTGCGGGATGCTGCAACTGTCATAAATGCGAGTCAGTTGCCAAGCACCTGGATGGCAATCACGCAATACTGGGAGGCGACATTGCAATGGTCATAAGTACAAGGACTGGTTGCAATTCACTTTTTTCAGCCCCAACTTTGAATTTTTGCTAAATTGATGGTTCTGAACTGAGGACTACATTTGTGCTGCTTATTATATGCCTCTAAACCGGTCTATAAATTTGCCATTTGGGCAGTGTTCCACCCTGCCGGGTTGTTGTAGACTTCTTCTAAGCCCCAACACCCCCTTCGTTCGTTCCCCCCCCCGGCCCCCCCCTGTGGTTGCCTTGAAAGGCTTAGGATGTTCTTGTGTTGAAGAAAGCAAAATCAATACGAATCCTATTAGCAAGGATTTGTTTTGCCTTCCACAATTCATCATAGAAATTGCTCCATCCTCTTTTACAAGCGAAGGGAGGGGGGAAATCCCCCTTTTTTAAAAAAAAACCCAAGGTATGGAGTCATTCTCTCCCTCGTGAAATGTTTATAATTGAGAAATGCTCTTAAAAAGCTGGAAGGGACAAAATTTTTTTTAAAAAAACCCCAAAGGAAACAAACAAATGCACACTGGCCAGTCATCAAATATCAGCCTGGACTTGGTTCAATCAAGAGTCAAAGGATGAAAATGCGGCTCTTATTTCACTGAGAAAATAAAACCAGAACACAGAAGATAGAATGACAGGGATGGAAGGGACCTCCGAGGTCTTCTAGTCCAACCCCTGCTCAAGCACGAGACCCTATAGCATTCCAGACAAATGGCTGTCCAGTCTCTTCCGAGCCTTGAAGAAGAGAAGTTGCTGAAAGTAGAAGACTTTGAATTTGACTGTTTTGAAATTTGGGCTTGCCAGATGATGGGAAGCAGGAAGACTGTCATATATCTTTTGACCAGCAGAGGGCAACCATCGCCCAGAAATGAAATGCCTGATCTCTCTTCCCTCAAGGTCCTTCTCCATCTAGGCAAGCCAGCATTTCATCTTGGCTAAAGAAAACCACCATGAGGAAAGAAGAATGCCACAACAGACACACAGAAGGCTTCCTTCCTTCCTTCCTTCCTTCCTTCCTTCCTTCCTTCCTTCCTT